CCATCCACTAAGAACATACAAGGTGAGTTCATACCCCAATCTTTTCATGTTTTTCTTAAGTTTTAGGGGGGGGGGGGAATACAGGTTAAAACACTAAGAACATAACTAAACTCATTTAACAGCCTTCATCAGAAAAGTTTAACTCCATTCACGGACTGTTTTGGTCAACTTAAACATTTTAGTTTTCAAAACTGTATTAGGTGCAAATAGTTCAGGTTCATACCTTTAAAAATGACTACTTGCACATCCACTAAGAACACACAAGGTGAGTTCATACCCCTATCGTATCATGTTTTTCTTAAGTTTTAAGGGGGGGAATATAGGTTAAAACACTAAGAACATAACTAAACTCATTTAACAGCCTTCATCAGAAAAGTTTAACTCCATTCACGGACTGTTTTGGTCAACTTAAACATTTTAGTTTTCAAAACTGTATTAGGTGCAAATAGTTCAGGTTCATACCTTTAAAAATGACTACTTGCACATCTCCATACGATTTTTCTAAAATTTATCGTGATTTTTACAAAACTGTCTATCATTTCAAGAATAAATCCGGACCAGTATGTGATTAAGGACCTTTTTACACAAGTTGGAGGTCACTAAAAATCATAATAAAATTTATGAACAAACTAGACTCATTTTCCAAACTCTCAGAATTTACAGATTCTGATTTGGATCTTTGATGATTTTTCTATAAAATTTCTAACAACATAATAGAAATGTTAATACTAGAAAAATGCTATCAATTTCATTTGCACCTTGTAACTTGTTGAGCAAGGTGTGTATCATTATGTGAATATATGTTTTTACATTATATGTCATTTCGTCTAAGTGTAATGACATACACCAGAAAACAAATGGATTTTACCTTCATAAGTATGGTAATTAGTTTAAGGTTATAAACAAAGTTTACATCCATTTCATACAAACATTTGATAAACTACGGAAGAATAGTTTATATTGCTTTACATTACAAACGATTATAATAAACTATAATAGGTATAGTTTATGTTTCATTACATTTCAAACTCTTTACCAAAGGTTTTTAGTTCACGTAAATCTGTTAATGAATAAATTTATGAGACATTCGCTTCGCGTTACATCCATGTAACAAAATCAAAAGTCCTATAAATTGTAACCAGAGTCTCTTGTAGGGAGAACGTGATAGTTGTGTATAGATCTATATTGGGTCTGACAAACCCACACCTGAGCTGCATGCAACAGCTAGACCGGCAGGTATGTGGTGACAAGTGTCATTTAACTTGCGACGCCTGAAGAACGTCGTATTACGAGGCCATCTGAGTCATAGTATGGTTATAATAACTCACATGTGGTATTAACAAAACATAAGATTTGCGGGTTTTACTTCTAAATTTAACGATTTTACGTCGATTTAAACTTGCATAAAATTACTTTAAGTATGGTAAAATACTTGTACACTTCGGTCTTGATTTTTAAGGCTACAATGCATTACATAAGAAAATATGGGATCTTTCTTGAACAAACATCATACTTACAAGAAAAGGATTTTAGCATCGCTTTCAAAAGCTTATGAACTCACCAACTTAATTGTTGACACTCTTTCAAAACTACTTGTATTCTCAGGAAATCAATAAACAGGTAACCAAGTGCTTTTGAGGATGGGACGTAAAGCGTCAAACTTTTCATTTTTGTCAACATAATGTAATTGATTTGGAAACATGTAAACGCATACAATGATGTAACTCTTTCAATTATATTTATGTTGGTTGTGTTTACTTTGATCACTATTGCAATTTGTTGTTATGATACTATACATGAAGTCCTCCACCCCCGGACGTTTCCGCCATCCTTGGTTTGGGGGTGTGACAGATTGGTATCAGAGCAATGTTTATAGTGAACTAAGTATATCGAACCACATAAGATATACAAACTATAAACACATTTGGGACTGAAAGTCTCTGATTGAACATTTTCAAATGTCTATACTTTTAGAAAGTAAACGGTTTGTTGTTAAAAGTATAAGTACATACATACATGCTCGCATAGTGTCATAGCTAGGAAAAACATAAAGTAAAAGAGGAGGAGTTGTACGTTTCGAGTATGCCTTGGGATATGTGGTCAAGTCTGGGATGGATATAGCCTGATCAACTATATCTGTCCGAGAAGTGACTTGCATATATTGGGGGATAGTCGTAGTGGACAACAAATCTGACAACCTAACATCACCCTATAATGAATACTCTAAGAACCAAACATAACATTTAAAAATACTATAGGAGTATTTTGTAAATTTATAACTCGACAATTTAGATTCATTTCATATCTCTTACACCCCTATTCTCGTACAGACAACATGGCGGGATTCCATCTACCTGGAGATCCTTACTTCCCTAATGAAGGAAACGCTGGATGGCTCGAGGCAGAACCCGAGGAGATGATCGAGGAAGATCCTGAGGAAGACCCCGAAGATCCTGAGGAAGACCCCGAAGAGGTTGAGGAGGAAGAGGAACCCAAGGAGGAAGAGGAAATGGAGGACGAAGAAGAAGAAGAGCCAGAGGAGGAAGTCATCAACCCTCCTTACATCGCCAGGGTGCCTGCGAACCGCTTTGGCTACAAAGGGCCCGAACCCCGTTGGGCAACGGTGATCGAGCGATGGAGCCGTCAGCAACGAAAACGATCACCATTTGGCGATCAATGAGATTACTACGACCTCAGCCACGGGGGACCAGCTGATAGAGCGCTTCCAGTCATGACTCAACAGATAACAAACATCGATGATCGCAATAGAGCGACGACGGACCAAATTCGGGAGCTGAGTGCCAATATAGAAGCTACTACTACCCGCACCAGAGACCTAGAGAGAGACTCCTACTTCAGGGACCAACTCAACAAGGACCTTCTCGCTGCCCGAGCAAAAGCAAGGGAGTATCAAGAAAAATACTTGGCACTCGAGGAAAGAGTGATTGCAGCCGAGCGACGATTGGCTGAACTCCAGGGTGCATCGACCTTGTCCCAAGCACCACCAGGGGCCGATCACCGTGAGTAGAACTCATTCTACTCACACGTCCTTGTAGAATAGATTTATGAGTATGCGTTGGTGCTACTCTTTTTGCATGTAAACTAACCCTGCGATTAAGTGATTACACTACTCAAGGGGCTATGTTATGCCAAAATTTTCTGTTACATTGATGTAGACCTGCTTAAAGGTCAAATTCTCCTAAACAATATGTATCAAATTATATCAATGAAATTGGCATGTATTCTATTTCACTACGAGTTTATAATAAATCTCATAGCATGGCAGTGCAAACAACTTTCGGTGTTTCTGAGATTCTTAATATGCACCTCCTGGTTAGTTGTAATTGTGAGACGATCGACTTAGATATGGTGAGTCCGCCTTAGGTCTTGTTCCTTGTTTGGTTGTGGGCCTAGGATAGACTCATTAAGTTCAACGGCCTATTGGACCATAATCACAAATAACTGGTGCGCATCGAGTGATCATACGAAAGGACCAGGCATGACCAAAGATTACAGAATTACATTTGGGGTCACTACAATATTCGGGAAGTTCGAGCACAAGAACTTTCTTCATAAATCATTTCTGGATGTTTTAAGTCGGGTCATATAACAAATAATCAAATTCAATAAACTCCGACTTACAATAGAAGACTTACCGATTTTTCGTCTTTATAACTTTTGACAGAACTATGCCGCCAAGGAAAAGACCCAGACCTTCCGGCAGCACAGCACCACCTCCTCCGCCGCCGCCCCCACAATTTGATTCCGTGATGTTCCAGGCTGCAGTAACAGCAGTCGTGGCGGCCGTAATGTCGCAGATAGGGACAAACGGTCCTGGTGGCTCTGGATCGGGTGCTACGCACTCTAACCACGGGGACAGTACGGGTCGTACAAGAGAGTGTTCTTACAAAGACTTCACGAATGGCAAACCTGATTTCTTTAAGGGAAGCGGGGGAGTGGTCACGCTAATGCAATGGTTCGAGAGGACTGAAGCAGTTTTCGAAATCTACGCTTGCCCCGAAGCAAGCAAAGTCAAGTATGAATTTCACCGGTAAAGCGAATGGCCGAGTTAAGTCACTTACTCCTGCAGTGGCTAACTCTATCAGCTGGGAAGACTTGAAAGCTTTGATGCTAAAGGAGTATTGCCCGAGGGGCGAAGTGCAAAAACTGGAAGAAGAACTCTGGAACCTCAAGATGTCGGGCACAGACCTTGAAACCTATACTACCCGATTCAATGACCTCGCACTCCTCTGCCCAGCAATGGTCACTCCAGAAGAGAAGAAGGTAGAATGATACCTCTGGGGGCTGTCATCCCAGATTCAAGATAGTGTGCTGGCCTCGAAACCCACTACTTTTGACAGTGCCAAGGAATTGGCACAACAACTTATCGATCATAGAGCCAGCCACGATACGGTTACTACCACACATGATCAAGCTAAGGGGGGGAGCAATAAAAGGAAATTCTGGAACAACAAAAAGAAGCAGTCGGTGCCAGACTCCACCAAAAGGCAACATACAGTTGCTGTTCGTGCTGCCATTACTCCTGTCACTCCAGCACCACCGAAGCCATATGCGGGAACCCTTCCCAAGTGCAATAAATGCAATTTCCACCACACCGGTGCTTGTCGGGAAATGCACTGCAAAATTGCAACAAAAAGGGGCATACCGCTCGCTTCTGTAGGACGCCAGCCCAACCAATCACTCAAGTCGCCAATTCGGGGGCAAGTCAAGCCTGTTACGGCTGCGGGGAGACAGGGCACTTCAAAAGAAACTGCCCAAAAGCACAAACCCCTAATGCTGGTGGCGTGGGGAGGGTCCTGGCTATAGAACATGGAGAAGCAATCAAGGACCCCACGGTGGTTACTGGTACGTTTCTTCTCAATAACTCATATGCATGCATACTCTTCGATAGTGGAGCGGAGAGGAGTTTTGTGAGCCATCAATTCAAACATTTACTTAAACAAGATCCCCAATTACTAAAAGACACATACGTCGTAGAAATGGCAAACAGAAAGGCAGAGCGCACTATCGATATATACTCAGGGTGTACCCTCACTCTAGACAATCATTCATTTAAAATCGACCTTATGCCGGTAACAATAAAAAGTTTCGACATAATCATCGGTATGGATTGGTTAAGTTCTCATCGTGCCGGCATTCTATGTTACGAAATGGTCGTTCGCCTCAATCTGCCAAGTGGCGAAACCCTTCTCGTCTACGGTGATAAACCCAGTGCAAACCTACAAATCATCTCTTGCGTCAAGGCTCAAAAGTATCTCCGAAAGGAATACCACGCCTTCTTAGCCCACGTAGTAGATAAGAAACAAGAGATGAAAGATATCAAAGACATTCCAGAAGTGTGCAACTTTCCCGACGTATTCCCTGAAGACCTTCCAGGCGTACCCCTCGCACGACAAGTCAAATTCAGAGTCGACTTGGTCCCCGGAGCTACCCCAGTAGCCAAAGCTCCATACCGCCTAGCGCCGGTGGAAATGCAAGAATTGTCCATCCAATTGAACGAGCTGTTAAGCAAATGGTTCATCAGGCCGAGCTTTTCACCTTGGGGAGCACCGGTCCTGTTTGTAAAGAAGAAGGACGGATCTTTTCGCATGTGCATTGACTACCGCGAGTTAAATAAGCTTACCATCAAAAACCAATACCCTCTACCCCGAATCGATGACCTCTTCGACCAACTTCAAGGAGCAAGTTACTTTTTAAAAATCGATCTGAGGTCGGGTTACCATCAGCTACGAGTTCAAGAAGAAGATATCCACAAGACAGCTTTCAGAACTCGCTATGGGCACTACGAGTTTGTAGTGATGCCCTTCGGGTTAACAAACGCACCTGCGGTTTTCATGGACCTGATGAATCGAGTGTCTCGGCCCTACTTAGACAAGTTCGTGATCGTATTCATCGACGACATTTTGGTTTACTCACGAAACAAGGAAGAGCACCGCAACACCTGCGACAAGTGTTAGAGACATTGAGAGCTGAGAAGCTTTATGCTAAATTCTTTAAGTGCGAATTCTGGATCCGAGAAGTGGATTTCCTTGGTCACGTGGTCAGTGAGAGAGGGATACATGTGGACCCCTCCAAAATCAAGGCAATCGAGAACTGGTCAGCACCTACAACCCCAACGGAAATCCGACAATTCTTGGGGCTTGCTGGATACTACCGAAGATTCATCCAAAACTTCTCCAAGATCGCTAAACCACTCACCACCTTGACTCAAAAAGGTGTGATGTTTAAATGGGAAGATAAACAGGAAGCTGCCTTCCAAACGTTAAAAACAAGCCCTGTGCAGCGCACCGATCCTGTTGCCAGAGGGAACCGAAGACTTTGTAGTCTACTGCGATGCATCAAACCAGGGGCTTGGGTGTGTATTAATGCAGCGAGGAAAGGTCATTGCCTACGCATCGAGGCAATTGAAAACACACGAGGTCAACTACGCCACGCATGACCTCGAATTGGGAGCAGTAGTGTTCGCCCTAAAGATCTGGAGGCACTACCTTTACGGAACAAAGTGTACTGTCTTTACCGATCACAAGAGCCTTCAACACATTCTCAACCAAAAGGAGCTCAACATGAGGCAAAGACGATGGGTAGAACTACTGAACGATTACGAGTGTGAAATTCGTTATCACCCAGGTAAGGCAAACGTAGTAGCGATGCCTTAAGTCGAAAGGAATACTCGGGACGCCGAGTAAAGTCATTAACGATGACGATCCATTCACACCTGTCCACACAAATCAAAGAGGCTCAATGGGAGGCCTTGCAACCGGAAAATGTGACGGGTGAGGCATTAAGAGGAATGGATAAAAACCTAGAAGTCAAAAACGACGGAGTTCGTTACCTCATGAACCGAATCTGGACACCGAAGTTCGGTGGTTTCCGAGACGTCATCATGAACGAAGCACACAAGACTCGATACTCCATCCACCCAGGTTCAGATAAGATGTATCTGGATCTCAAGAAGTTGTACTGGTGGCCAAACATGAAAGCCGAAATCGCTACCTATGTAGGCAAGTGTTTGACTTGCGCCAAAGTCAAAGTAGAATATCAGAAACCCTCAGGACTACTACAACAGCCTGAGATACCTGAGTGGAAGTGGGAACGGATAACCATGGACTTCATAACCAAGCTACCCAAGACCACGGGCGGGCTTGATACCATATGGGTAATCGTAGACAGATTGACCAAATCAGCGCACTTCCTGCCGATAAAGGAAACCGACAAGATGGAGAAACTGACTAGGACGTACATCAAAGAGATTGTACGACTGCATGGCGTGCCAAAATCCATTATCTCAGACAGGGATAGTCGATTTACCTCGCGATTCTGGCAATCACTTCAGAAGTCCTTGGGAACTAGACTGGACATGAGTACAACCTATCACCCACAAACCGACGGGCAAAGTGAGAGGATTATTCAGACGCTAGAAGACATGCTTAGAGCGTGTGTGATAGACTTTGGTAAAGCTTGGGATACCCATTTACCACTTGTCGAATTCTCGTACAATAACAGTTATCACACTAGCATCAAGGTTGCACCATTCGAAGCCCTCTATGGCCGCAAGTGCAGGTCACCTCTGTGCTGGGCTGAAGTAGGTGACACGCAACTAGCTAAGGGACAAGTCCCTAATAGCACCCTCACTGGCCCGGAGATAATAAGAGAAACTACAGAGAAGATTCTTCAAATCCGAGAACGATTAAAAGCTTCTAGAGACAGACAAAAAAGTTACGCAGATAACAGACGAAAGCCTTTGGAATTCCAGGTTGGGGATCGTGTGCTGTTAAAGGTCTCACCCTGGAAAGGTCTAATATGTTTCAGCAAGCGAGGAAAGCTGAACCCTAGATATATCGGACCATTCGAAATCCTTGCCAGGATTGGCCCGGTAGAATATAAACTACGTTTGCCACATGAACTTAATAACGTACATCCTACCTTCCACGTATCGAACTTAAAGAAATGTCTATCCGACGAGACCCTCGTGATACCACTCGACGAAATTGAAATCAACGAGAGTCTCCAGTTCGTGGAAGAACCGGTAGAAATCATGGATCGAGAGATCAAAAGAACAAAGCAAAGTCGTATTCCATTGTAAAGGTCCGCTGGAACGCTAAGCGAGGACCCGAATTCACCTGGGAACGCGAGGATCAGATGAAACAAAAGTATCCGCATCTCTTCCCAAATTCTTGAAGTCCCAGTCAAAAAGCAAATTTCGGGACGAAATTCCTTCTATCGGGGGGATGATGTGACAACCGTCAAATTCTGGTCTAGTCAAAGTCAAATAAAGTCAACAAGTCAAACCGGTCAACCCTACTAACACTTGTATACTAGGGTTCACCTTATGTAATTATTGTACAACTCACTATTTTAATAAGAAATCATCACATGAAAAGTTGTATTTTTAGATTTCTTGAACCCTAATCGGGGTAAGTGAGGTAGCAAAGCGATAAAACACTATTACATACCCTTCGGAGGTGTGTAAGACTCTTAATCATGGCTTAACGGGGTTTGTGGACCTTGCGTTTCAAAGCCAAACACTCAAAAAGGTCACAAAAGAAATCTCTCCCAATCTCTTTCACTCTATCTCTCCCTATCTGAAATCTCTCCAAGTATGTCAAATCTCTCCCAATCTCTCTAAGTATACCAAATCTCTCCAAGTATGTCAAATCTCTCCCAAATCTCTCTAAGTATGCCAAATCACTCCAAGTATGTCAAATCTCTCCCAAATCTCTCTAAGTATGCCAAATCTCTCCAAGTATGTCAAATCTCTCCCAAATCTCTCTAAGTATGCCAAATCTCTCCAAGTATGTCAAATCTCTCCCAAATCTCTCTAAGTATGCCAAATCTCTCCAAGTATGTCAAATCTCTCCCAAATCTCTCCAAGTATGTCAAATCTCTCCCAAATCTCTCTAAGTATGCCAAATCTCTCCAAGTATGTCAAATCTCTCCCAAATCTCTCTAAGTATGCCAAATCTCTCCAAGTATGTCAAATCTCTCCCAAATCTCTCCAAGTATGTCAAATCTCTCCCAAATCTCTCTCAAAATCTCTCTCAACTGTTTATAATCACTCGGGGCATCCCGACCCTCGAATTTGACGAAAACAGCTCGAAAACGGAAGTCTACGCGAAAAACAGCCTTAAGGAGCCGAAACTCCTCTTAGGAACCGGAACTCCTCTTAGGAGCCGAACCTCTTAGAGCCGAACCTCTTGAGAACCGAAACCCTCTCAACCGAAATGGACCGAGCGCTCGGTCTATTTCGGTCCCCTGATCATGCTGAACCGAGACTAACTTTCGGCTCTCATTCTCACCTTCGGTCCGAGGACCTGACCTTCGGTCCGAGGACTTGACCTTCGGTTCCGAGATGCGAGCCTGGACCGAACCTCGCAGATAGCCACCGAGACCGAGCCTCGCCTTCTGTTCCTTCTCTTTGCACCTTCGGTTCCTCTCCAGCGACCGAACCCTCCTCTCGGCTCCCACCTACTTTCGGTTCTAAGCATCAGGAACCGAACCTCCGGCCCAGACTTCGGATTTTCGCCTATTTTTCCCGGTTTCTGACCATTTTCACGTATTAAGCCCGTTTTTCGTGATTTCAACGCGGGATTTTCTCCAAAAATCATATTTTAACATATAAGACCCTAAATATTCATAATTTAAACATATTTTGATGGAAATCTTTATTTAAGAATAAAATCTAGTGGGTGAATATTTGAGGTGGAGTGTTGACTTTACTTTAGTGTATGACACAAGCAACCACCCCATACCCACTCCAGGGACCAGCCATTGTCCTTCCACCATACCTGGTCATTCAAGAGTACTTTCCCCACCATTTGACCAACCACACTCTTGGTCAAAGGCTGAAAACTCTTATCTCTCCTCACCATTCTCTCATTTCTCTCATATGTCCTCCAAAAGACAAACACCATTCTCTCTCAATTCTCTCTCTAAATTTCGAGATTCAAGGCCATTCTCCAAGCTTTTCTTCTACTATTGGTAAGTATTATCATCCTCCACGAGATTATTTCACTTCTTTCTACTCAAATCATGGATATCTTACATAAATATCATCACATTCATGTTAGATCTTCGAACCTTCAAGGCATCTTCTTAGTGTTCTTGAGTAGAACACTTCTTTACTTCAACATCCATCCACTAAGAACATACAAGGTGAGTTCATACCCCTATCTTTTCATGTTTTTCTTAAGTTTTAAGGGGGGGGGGGGGGGGGGAAATACAGGTTAAAACACTAAGAAGATAACTAAACTCATTTAACAGCCTTCATCAGAAAAGTTTAACTCCATTCACGGACTGTTTTGGTCAACTTAAACATTTTAGTTTTCAAAACTGTATTAGGTGCAAATAGTTCGGGTTCATACCTTTAAAAATGACTAATTGCACATCTCCATACGATTTTTCTACAATTTATCGTGATTTTTACAAAACTGTCTATCATTTCAAGAACAAATCCGGACCAGTCTGTGATTAAGGACTTTTTACACAAGTTGGAGGTCACTAAAAATCATAATAAAATTTATGAACAAACTAGACTCATTTCCAAACTCTCAGAATTTACAGATTCTGATTTGGATCTTTGATGATTTTTCTATAAAATTTCTAACAACAGAATAGAAATGTTAATACTAGAAAAATGCTATCAATTTCATTTGCACCTTGTAACTTGTTGAGCAAGGTGTGTATCATTATGTGAATATATGTTTTTACATTATATGTCGTTTCGTCTTAGTGTAATGACATACACCAGAAAACAAATGGATTTTACCTTCACAAGTATGGTAATTAGTTTAAGGTTATAAATAAAGTTTACATCCATTTCATACAAACATTTGATAAACTACGGAAGAATAGTTTATATTGCTTTACATTACAAACGATTATAATAAACTATAATAGGTATAGTTTATGTTTCATTACATTTCAAACTCTTTACAAAAAGGTTTTCAGTTCACGTAAATCTGTTAATGAATAAATTTGTGAGACATTCGCTTCGTGTTACATCCATGTAACAAAATCAAAAGTCCTGTAAATTGTAACCAGAGTCTCTTGTAGGGAGAACGTGATAGTTGTGTATAGATCTATATTGGGTCTGACAAACCCACACCTGAGCTGCATGCAACAGCTAGACCGGCAGGTCTGTGGTGACAAGTGTCATTTAACTTGCGACGCCTGAAGAACGTCGTATTACGAGGCCGTCTGAGTCATAGTATGGTTATAATAACTCACATGTGGTATTAACAAAACATAAGATTTGCGGGTTTTACTTCTAAATTTAACGAGTTTACGTCGATTTAAACTTGCATAAAATTACTTTAAGTATGGTAAAATACTTGTACACTTCGGTCTTGATTTTTAAGGCTACAATGCATTACATAAGAAAATATGGGATCTTTCTTGAACAAACATCATACTTACAAGAAAAGGATTTTAGCATCGCTTTCAAAAGCATATGAACTCACCAACTTAATTGTTGACACTCTTTCAAAACTACTTGTATTCTCAGGAAATCAATAAACAGGTAACCAATTGCTTTTGAGGATGGGACGTAAAGCGTCAAACATTTCATTTTTGTCAACATAATGTAATTGATTTGGAAACATGTAAACGCATACAATGATGTAACTCTTTCAATTTTATTTATGTTGGTTGTGTTTACTTTGATCACTATTGCAATTTGTTGTTATGATACTATACATGAAGTCCTCCACCCCCGGACGTTTCCGCCATCCTTGGTTTGGGGGTGTGACATCATTATTCATTTGATAATGTTTCAAACAATCAACTTTATACTTGAATCAAAACAATAGTCATGCCATGCTCCAAGCATGCACACTATGTTTGTCCAAACATTAGTTATGCCATACTCCAAGTATGCACACTATGTTTGACTATGATCCTTACTTTTTGGAATAGATCAATTGAACATAATTCCAATGATCCTTGTTGGAACCTGAAAAGTGAACCTCTAGCAATCCAAGTCCGGATTCAGAAGTACTTGTATTCCGGAACAAATGGTCCGGAGTGAAATGAGAAGAGTGGTCTGGAATCTGTCCAGACCAGGAAAGAAGAAAATGCGAAGCTGAAGGCATTCCAGAATGATTCTCATGTCCGGAATGGATGCTGATCTGGAACAACGATATTTAGTCTTTGTGCATTTATTAAGTTTGTATTTGTATTGATATGACATTTCATAGGACTTAGTCTTTTGTAATATTAGACAGTCAGAATGTCAGGAACATTTCTATTGTCCGGTCCTATGTAAGTTTCCTAGTTTATTCGTTGTAACCTTCACTCCTATTTATAGGAGCTTTCAATGCAAAGTCAAATGCGGATCTTTCACTCAACTTTTTGGCATTTACTAAGTTATTTCAAACATTCTTGTTGTTCTTCATTTATTAGCTTTACCTTGATCATTTATTCTCATCTCTTCATTTATGACTTGATCATTTGTTGAATACATCAACTTAGACTTGACTGGTCTTTCCAGGATTGACTAGAACATTTATTAGCAAGCAGACATTGATCTTAAGCATTCACTCAAGGTTTGAATTCTCAAGCCTTCTCCCTGCGCATCAGATGAATCTTGTTCTCACAATTGGTATTAGAGCTTGAGTGGTTGTCCTTTGAATCCATAAGATCAGATTAGTTGGTTTGAAATTACCTTCGTATTTCAACAATTTCTGTGATAAGGATAAAAGTTCTTCTATATACCACTTAAGCTTGAAGATATCTTAACTTCAATGGCTACTTCTAATCCTCAACAAATGATTTCAATGCAAATCGCAAATAGTGTGGGTGGCCCTACACGTGCCCCATTACTAGTTGTGGAAGAATATGATCACTGGAAAGTTAGAATGGAAAGGTTTTTTACTGGCCAAAGATAAAGGTGAAGAAATCTGGAGATCCGTCAAAGAAGGTCCACATGTTCCAGTAAGAACAGTAGTAAGAGATGCAGCTGCTCAGCTCATGCATGAAGATGAAACCCGCCCAGCTCCTCTAACTGCAGATTATATTGAGAAGCTGCATGCTGATCAAGTTGCTTTCTCTGAAATGGTGTTTGGTGTTCCTCCCTCACTCTTTGAG